CTGCGGAGGGGCTGGCAGGGGCGGTCAGTGGGGGCAAGGGGGGCATCTGTAGTACCTCCGACAATAAAGATAAATTAAAAACCACTCGTGAACAGCGGTGCTCGCAGTGATTACGAGGGGTGTGGCCGCCAGGGCTCCCCATGATTCACAAGAGGCCGTTTTACCTCCGCTCTGAAGTGACCACTGCGCAGGTGGCGGCCGTGCTGATGCGCCTCAGCCGCGGACGCTGGGTCCGTCCAGCTCCCTCACCACCCCCCCCCGGACGCTGTGTCCTACTGAGCGCAGGTGCTGGGTGTTCGGATGAGGGCGACGTGTTCGGGGCCTTCATTTGCCCCCTAATGGTTGGTGGTCTGGACCGTCGGGCCCCTGGCGCTTTTACTCACTTCTGCTCTTTTCATTCCTCAGCTGAGTAATTGCCGACGTGCGTCTGTGTCGTAGGTGTTGCCCCGCGTGAAACCGCCCCGCGATCCCTAACGCCCCACGTCCCTCCTGTCTCCAGACCCGACCCCACGCCACACCTGACCATGGGAATTATTTNGTCTCCCCATGATTCACAAGAGGCCGTTTTGCCTCTGCTCTGAAGTGACCACTGTGCAGGTGGCGGCCGTGCTGACTGGCCTCAGCCGCGGACGCTGGGTCCGTCCAGCTCCCTCAGCCCCCCCCCCCGGACGCTGTGTCCTACTGAGCGCAGGTGCTGGGTGTTCGGATGAGGGCGACGTGTTCGGGGCCTTCATTTGCCCCCTAATGGTTGGTGGTCTGGACCGTCGGGCCCCTGGCGCTTTTACTCACTTCTGCTCTTTTCATTCCTCAGCTGAGTAATTGCCGACGTGCGTCTGTGTCGTAGGTGTTGCCCCGCGTGAAACCGCCCCGCGATCCCTAACGCCCCACGTCCCTCCTGTCTCCAGACCCGACCCCACGCCACACCTGACCATGGGAATTATTTAAAATATCCTTAAGCCTGACAGTGTGGCTCAGGGGTACGTCAGCCTGCACCCTGAAGGGCCCGGGGTTCGATACGGTCAAGGGCACGTATCTAGGTGGCAGGTTCGATCCCCAGCGTGGTTGGGGCCCGTGCGGGAGGCAACCGATCCGTGTGTCTCTCTCACATCGATGTTTCTCTCTCTCTNTAAATATCCTTAAGCCTGGCCGGTGTGGCTCAGGGGTACGTCAGCCTGCACCCTGAAGGGCCCGGGGTTCGATTCCCGGTCAAGGGCACGTATCTAGGTGGCAGGTTCGATCCCCAGCGTGGTTGGGGCCCGTGCGGGAGGCAACCGATCCGTGTGTCTCTCTCACNTCCCGGTCAAGGGCACGTATCTAGGTGGCAGGTTCGATCCCCGGCGTGGTTGGGGCCCGTGCGGGAGGCAACCGATCCGTGTGTCTCTCTCACATCGATGTTTCTCTCTCTCTCTCCCCCCCTTTCTCCTTCCCTCCCTTCCACTCTCTAAAAAGCCATGGAAAAACTATCCTGGGTGAGAATTAAAAAGTAAAATATCCATGAGGAACCCTGGCCGAAGGAAGGACAGCCGGCCGGCGGCCTCTGTTGATCTCCGTTGGCTTGGGGGATGCTGCGGTCCCCAGGCCCCTCCTCTCTGCTCGCTGCTGAGTCACCATAGCTCAGCCTCCGTCCTGAGTGCCACCCTCCTGATGAATAAGAGTGGGAGGCAGGACACTGCCCCCCACGGTGCCCCCAGCCCAACCCCTAGAACCTGCGAATGTGTTAGTCACCCGGCAAAGGGAATTAAGGCCGCAGGTGGGGTTAAGGCTGCCCATCGGCTGGTTGATTAGCCTGGATTATCCAGGTGGGCCCGGTGTGGTCACACGCGGTCTCAGGTGGCCGTGGAAGGCAGGCGAAGAGTCAGAGGGAGATTCGAAGACACCACGCGGTCGGCTTTGAAGAGGGGAAGGAGGCCATGAGCCAAGGCCGGAGGCAGAGCCCTGGGCCAAAAGGATGCAGAGACACCCAGGAAACCACCAAGGGGCAAAGGGTCTCCAGTATTTATCAGAACAGCGGCAGTGTCATTTTTTTTTTTTTTTAAGAATTTAGAGACGCTATTGGGGGCCACACCCTGAAAATAGGCTCCACACAAACTCAACCATCAGGAGCAGGTCAGGAGTCACTGAGGAAAACACCTCCACGGCGACTGTCTTATTTACGGCTTTTCTGTCCTTGATAGGCAGCTGGAAACAGCCCGGGGGAAACAGCAAAAACGTTCTCTTACCTGATAATATGGTGGCGGAGCTCCCGTCATCTGTGGGGACGAGAGACTTAGTTCAGAGCCTCGCAGGGAAAGGCGTGACCCAGCGCCTGGAGCATCACTGACGCGCAGCGGAAGCCGCCTCCTGTGATTTCGTGCCCGTGATCTCATTTAACCCGGCGGAGCTCTGTGAGCTGCGGGGCGGCGCTTCCAGCCCCTCCTCAGAAAACGGCGCCCGCGGCCCGGCCCAGGTCCCGCTGGGTGAGCGGTGGAGACGGGCCTGAGGCTCGGGCCTCCCGCTGCCAGCCCCTCGGTCTCTCCTTTGCCTCCCAGCCGCCCTGGGCCTGGGCACGCGCCCGTCTCGAACACACGCCCGGGGGGCTCGCCAGCTGCGGGACTCGCCAGGCTCCCAGGCCACGGATAAATGAACAGCTCACGGAGGATACACGCGGAAGGCTCTCCCCTCCCCGCGTGGCTCCCCAAGGCCAACAGGAAAAGTTGTGGTTTTAAACTCAAGGGAAAATGTTGTCCAAAACCGGGCGAATTCAACAGGAAAAGTTCAGCATGGAAACCCCTCCCGCCTGGGGGCGGCAGCTATGCCTGGGCCTTCCCTTCGGCGGAGGGGGTGAGGCTCCCGTGGCTGCCGGGGTGGGAGAGTTTGCACTCCCTTCGCCGGCCACACCGGGCCACCCGGCGGGAAAGCACGTGCGTGGAACAGCTGCAGGAGCTGCGCAAATAGTTTACGGAGACTTTTCCTTGGCACGGTGGTGGGAATAGCGCTCGTAACAGCTATTCCACCAGAAAAATGAAAATACCGGTACTAGAGAGTAACTTTACACCCTCGCGACTGACGGTCAGGGGAGCTCTCGCGGAAGGAAGCGGCCCAGCAGCACCTCCCCCGGCGTCGGGCGCGTCCTAACGCCCAGGAACGTGGGAATGACAAGCGGTGGTGGAAACAGGGCCACCGGGGCCTCCAGGGCCTAGTCCAT